AATGACACCAATCGTGTTGTTGCAGTGGAACTCGATACGATAAAGAATGTCGAGTTCGAGGACATAGATGACAACCATGTCGGAATTGATTTTAATGGGTTGACGTCCAAGGCGTCCCATGGAGCTGGGTATTATGTGGACGGTACCGGCCAATTTATAAACCTGACGCTGATCAGCGGACAGCCAATGCAAGTTTGGGTAGAATACAATAGTCTAGAACAGAGAATGAATGTCACCTTAGCTCCAATTAATGTTCCTAAACCCAAACTCCCACTTTTGTCCCTGTCAAGGGATTTATCGCCCATCGTTAACGATACTGTATACATCGGATTCTCTGCGTCAACTGGTGCGGTTGTAACATCTCATTATGTTTTGGGTTGGAGTTTTATGATTAACGGCCAAGCAGAGGAGCTCGTTATTTCACAGCTGCCTAAGCTTCCTCGCAGAGGACCGGAGCAAACATTGAAGTATTTAACAATTGGATCGCCTCTGATTTCCCTGACTCTGGTTTTTGCAACAGTTTCAGGGGTTGTTTATTTCATAAAGAGGAAGAGGGAATTCGCAGATGTAGTCGAAGATTGGGAACTCGATTACGGGCGTCAAAGATTCAAGTACAAAGATCTGTATGTGGCCACAAATGGGTTCAAGGACAAAGGGTTACTGGGTACCGGTGGGTTTGGTAAGGTTTATAGAGGAACATTTCCCACCTCCAAATTGGAGATTGCCGTCAAAAAGGTCTCTCATGAATCAAGACAGGGGATGAAGGAATTCGTGGCGGAAATTGTTAGCATCGGTCGTCTCCGTCACCGGAATTTAGTACAACTCCTGGGGTATTGCCGGAGAAAAGGGGAGTTGCTCTTGGTCTATGACTACATGCCGAATGGAAGTCTGGACAAGTACCTCTATGGCCAGCCGAATATCACCCTGAATTGGAGGCAGAGGTTTAGGGTCATCAAGGGCGTAGCCTCCGGGCTACTCTATTTGCACGAAGAATAGGAACAAGTTGTGATTCATAGACATGTAAAGGCCAGCAATGTTCTCTTAGACAGTGAATTGAATGGAAGATTAGGAGATTTCGGGTTGGCGAGATTGTATGATCATGGAACGGATCCACAGACAACAAATGTGGTGGGTACTCTGGGGTACCTAGCGCCGGAGCAGACCCGAACAAGGAAGGCCACAACCAGCACCGATCTGTTTGCTTTCGGTGCCTTTTTGCTAGAAGTTACCTGTGGAAGAAGGCCGATTGAGCCACAAGGTGAAACAGAGGATTTGAATCTGGTTACTCTGGTGTTTTCGTTTTGGCAAAGAGGGGAGATTCTTGAGATCAGGGATAAAAAATTAGGGACGGTTCTGTAGCAAAGGAGGTGGAGTTGGTATTGAAGCTGGGGTTACTCTGTTCGCATTCAGACCCCACAGCCAGGCCAGGCATGCGCCAAGTGGTGCAGTACTTAGAAGGGGATGTTCCTTTACTGGACTTATCAGCACTAGGCCTGACTGCCAGTGGCCTAACGTTTGCCCATGGCAAAGGTTTTGATGACTTTGTCATGTCCTCTTCGTCTTCCATGGATAAGGCATACACGCATTCCTCTTCAC